GGGGGGGTGGGTGTGGAATCTACTGGAAATCTATGAGAAGATCCTGAACACAGCCTTAGAGGTAGATTTCTAGAAATTGAGTCAAACTGTGTGGTACATGGATCATTAGCAGTACAGATTTTTTAATCATGCTCATGGCTCAAAAAAAAAGCCCCAAATTGTCATTACTAAGAAATAAACGAAGCCTGCAGAATTCTGTTTTAGAATATTGCCCATTTAAGTTACCGGTTTGCTAAACAGCATCAACTAATTATTCTAAAGTTTCAAACTGATCAAAAGCATAACATCTGCTATTAAACAAGAATACAAATCTATCTAAAGCTTGCTTGGAAGTAGTGTTTTGAGTTTTTTTTGTTTTGTTGGGGGTTTTTTGTTGTTTGTTTGTTTTTTAATACACACTGAATAGCCCTGAAAGAAAACATTTTGGATAGTTTGGAATATTATACACATGACAGTTTATACATGTTCAAATCTTTTAAACTGTCCTTTAAATCAAATAGTCATCTTTAGGGAATTCAAATCCTGGAACAGTTAGGAGTGAATTTTTAAAATCCAACTGATTTAGAGAACGACTAAAGAGCTTTAACATTACATGTATATGCAAAGCATACGGAACAAGAATCTAAAAACAGAACACCATGCCTTTGCCTAGAGACATTTCCAAGTCTCCAAGCACTATAACTTCAGCTTTCTTTAGTACAGTCGGGATGGAGTTCTTTCTTCTTCTCTTCCCCTCATTCTGCATTTCTGTCACCCTTTCTTATCCAACTTTTTGTTAATTTATGTACAGTACACTGGATAAGCTCTTACCCCTTATCTCAATATTTTGTGTATCAAAGAACACATTTTTTGTTTTGTTTAGTATTTTTAGCCCATCTTTTCCTAACATCTTTCAGAAATTCTTAAATCCAGTTTCTGGATCACGATTTAGACAACAAGCTGTCAACAGACTGCCAGCCCACGACACACTGTTTAATGGACATGCTTCTAGGCATTCCCAAACCTCTTGTAGGCTCCTGAAAGCTTACCTCCTCCACACTACCATTCCAAACCAGAACATACCTCCCGTTACTGCACGCCCCAGCGTGATCAGCAGCAGCCCAAGCTCCCTGGGTTCTAGCTTCTCCCTCCTTCTTGCATATGCTTAAAGCCAGTAGGAAACAAAAATCTGTTCATCGTCCTTAGCTGATACCAAAATTACTGCCATTAAAATATGAAAAGTATTTCTATCGCTACACTCAGTTGTAAATACCACATATGTCGCACCTTTACATCTCTCTTCTCAGCTTTCCAAGGTAGGCGTATCAAGTGAGGATCATCCCAACAAGTTTTTATATCAGATGCAGTATCCAATAGAAAATTCTGCTTTTAAGCTTATCGTTTTAAACACAACTTTTCAGTTTTGTACACTCCTCTTTACTTGAAGAGTGAGATTATCCACATGCCATCTTTGTTTAATAAGCACTACATCCATAATCCTTTTGCCCTAAGATTTATTTCCACGCATTTATGTAGAGAATTCCTTTTCCTTCCTCATTTACAGCCCATCTAGACAGATGTGTTGATTTGAACACAGAAAATGAAGTACCAGGACATTCAGAACAAGCTTGTAGTAGGCTGGCAATCTCAAACCTCACCTACACCTCAGGCTCCATTCTGTCGGCTTCCAACATTTTCCTTTACTTGTACTTGAAAATAACAACCAAACCTTTGGATGCTCCAATGCAATACCAGGGTGAGCACCTGCATGCCAGTACAGATGCAGCTGGAAAACCCTACCAGTGTAGACACATTTCCATTTCCAGAGTAGGAACCAGTGAAGATGCATTAACTTCCTTCCAGAAATCTTCTGACATCGTACATGGCCTCTGAGGAGGCCACAAGCAGAAGAACGAGGAATTTCTGCCAATCTTCAAAATGCTTTAAGCTCTTCCAAGGTAATTGCAAGCTAGTATAGACACTGAGTCAACTATTTACACAGAGAAAAGCCAAATCGTTGCCTTTCTACTTCCTTACACACCATTTTAGCTATACCCCATTCCCTTCTCTTTTTCCACATAGATTTAATATTTTCCTTTACTGATTTATCTCCGGTGTCATCTAAGTAAACCTTGGCTACTTTGCCCATTCAGTGATTGTTTTAGCTCTAAAGTAATATTTTCCACTTCATTGACTCACTTTAAAAAACCATTCAGTCCCAAACCACAATCTTTTAAAGACTGTCAAACTTTTCATCCTTGATACTGTAGTTCAGACACGCTAGCTTCATTTTTGATGCTAGTATTGTGGAGCTGAGGCTATGTACTCCTTTTGTTCCATAAACTACTTTGGAATTTTCTAACGGAAAAGTCTGGAAGAGATATAATCTTTAATTTTTTCCTTTACGTTTTCATCTCTTAAGATTCTCAATATTTATGCCACTTAGGTCATCTTTTTTTTTTAAGCTACATGAAAAAGGTGCTCAGGACTGTTTGTTTAGTAACACATCATTCCATCTCTGGGTTGCAGCTGTGAATCCAACAAGGACATCAATATTACCAAAAATGTTTTTAATCTCTTGGTAGTGTCATGGCCTTTAAAGTAACATGCAAGCTTCAATCTGGTTCTTATGGGCAGGTACACATACAACACAAGTCTGTGACAACGGCCTCCAAGACATAGATACCATGCAGCACTGAGGGGAAAGAAGGCTGTACTTATAAAGCTTGCAATTTTGTAGTTCAAATCTTCTTTAAAGGAGTTCAAGTCTTGAAGATTATTCTTCTGGCAACCGTCCTAATGTTTATACCCTAACAGCCACACAATTTCACTTTCATTGTAATTTCTTGAAGCTTAACTCTTGTTTCCTATGTAATTTGAATTTTAAAACCAAGTTCATAGCAGCACCATTTAAAAAAAAAAATCCAGGTCCACAACACCTTTAAGAAGAAATATCAGGAACAGCTATGTGTTGAACTATTCCACTGTATTATTTGCATGAGCAGCAAGTGTCACTTTGTCACAATTTCTATTACGGTGGTCAGACTGCACCAGTAGTTACTCTTACACATGAACAAAAATGTGCCTAATTATTTTAAGAAATTTTATAATAGCTGAGTTGTTTGTGCAGTTGCTGGAAAAAGTTCACCCTGACTGACTGTTCAGCTGTATTTTAAAGGAAAGAAAGAAGCCAGAAGCATTTACAACTGTATTATATGAAATAAAAATTCAAGAAGTTGTCCTTTTCTGAAGAACCACTCTATAAGAAATGCATTTTCAAAGAACCAAGAAGTCAATCTGGTGTCTTATCTTTCTTATGTTGAATATATTTTAACATATCAAAACCCCCCAAAGTCTAGTCAGAATCTTTTGGTTATCACATATGAAAAATTTTTCTTCGAGTATCATCAGTTCCATCTCTCCTTCAAAATCTTATTTAACAGACATTTTAGTACATAAGCTCAACTTAAAGTTTTCCTTAAAGTACATGCTATCACTTCTGGAAGTACCAGGTAAAGACATCTGGCCTGACCACTGTTTGCAGTATATCGATCAATACTTAGGACTTCAAGTGATGCTTTTCCTAGTCCTTTCTAATTCATGTACCTGCTTATTTTTTATTCTAGTACTGCAAATTTTAATTCAAATACTATGAATCCTCAACAATCTATTTCTGGACAAGTGTTAAAAGATTACAAGTAGACAGTGTTGATTTCCTCTTCCACGAATTGTTATGCACAGCCAAATTTATTTCCTTGCCAATTTTTTTGTGTGTGGTTTTTTTGTGTGTGTTTTGTTTTGTTTTTTGCTTTTTAACACAAAAGTGATAACTAACAGTCTCCACCTAAGTCCCTCAGAAAATGGAGAGGACAGGTTCTTAAGTGTTATATGGGACATGAGGGGGGAGGGAGAGATGAGGGCAAGGAGATTTAACTAAGTAGGTCTTGCCCATGCTTCTCTCTTGCAGAAAGATAATCCATTATCTTTCACCAGCTGTCGCCCATTTCACAGCTCCCCACAGAGCTCTGAAGGTAAATTACTGGAGCACATTTTCCAGTAAAGTCTGTGTATTATTTATTCTGTAGTTATCAAGCATATACTTGAAGTAAGAGCTATTATTACCAATGTGCACAGTGACATATTACAGCCACTGATGCAGAAGATGATTGCAGCAATGTGCATTGCTGTTTTAAAGAAATGACTGCAAAGTGCCTTCTCCAAATACAAATATGAAGTAAGAAGTCTGAACAATGAAACGGAAGGGGAAATTAAGGACGTGAGACGAGGGGGGTGATATTTCTCAGTAGTTTTAGGTAGCAAGACTCAGTCCAAAAAAGAAGGTATTGCCTTTACTTCACTATCTGCACAGTCTGCAGGTACCTCCCAAGAGGGAAGCGATACACTGCAACTAGAACACAATGTGAACAACTTCCATACATCAATCACAAACACAGCTGAGGGCTCACAACCACAGCATCTGAAACAACTATACACCACTTTGAACAAAGTTTCTTCTGAAAAATTAACACATATTCTAAATTGCTCACATACACAGTCCTTGCCCCAGAAGGGTAATGGACCATTACATTATATAGTACTGTCAATGAGTGCCTTCATGACATAGCTGACAGTATATGTTCTCTGGCAAGGATGTCTACCAGACTTCCAGGCATTTAGGAATCATGAGAATTTTGAAAAAATCTTATTATTTTCCCAGGAGTTTGCTGCAAGCAACGTACTCAAAAACACAGATATAAATTCATTGTATGGAAAGTCAAGCGTCACTTAGGATACCCTATTAGTAATTACAACACACCACTAATAAAGGATTCAGTTCTTGGTTTTGTCCCATTTGCACATTGTTATCCTCATCATTGATAGCACTTCCCATGCTCTTCTCCGTATATCAACATGATTTTGAAACACTGAATTTGTCATGCATTTTGGTTTGGTAAGTGCACTATCATCAAAGAAAGCATATCAGCCTTAAAACCATGTTGCGAGTCCAACTTCACGTAAGTCATACAAGCTCTTATTTTATAGAGGAAACCAAAAAACAGCCAATATCTCCCATTAGATCTTTACAACTATGAGGAATATTTCATTCACCCTGTTGTTAGCAACTGCTTAGTCAGACTCCTTATAATGTCAGATATAAGAATATTAGGAACCCCACTAGATAGAGATTCCTTTGTGATATGAGAACGTATCTACCAGAACAGCTAAACTTGTATTTTTTGTACAGGATGATTCAGGCTCGCAGCCATGCAGTGATTGCAGGCTTTTCTGACAGCTCCATGGAACAAAGCTTTAAAATACTTCAACTGCTATCAAGGCTAACAGCTAGACATAAGGAAACCACACTTGGGAAAAAGCACTAGACACAAAACATAGGTTCAAAATTCTTGAAACCCGTTCTGGCAATTCTCTTCCAGGAACAAGGAAACTGGTGCTTTTATTAAATACATGGCAGGACAATATGAACAAAATTTAGTTTCCCATCATTTACAAGCTGAAAATTTAGTTAAAAGCTTGTCAATACTTACATTGAGACTATGTGGTAAAATGCCAACCAATCAGGGTAAACACCTGTCCTGGTTTCAGCTGGGATAGAGTTAATTTCCTTCCTAGTAGCAGGTACAGTGCTGTGTTTTGGATTTAGTACCAGAATAATGTTGGTAACACACTGATGTTTTAGTTGTTGCCAAGTAATGCTTACACTGGTCAAGGACTGTTCCGCCTCCTATGCTCCGCGCTGCACAAGAAGGGGGGAGGGGGGGCACCCAGAAAAGGGCTATACC